CAACAGCATTTTTGCTTTAGGATGTGCCTAAAGGGGTGTGTGTGTGTGTGTGTGTGTGTGTGTGCACACGCGCATGTGTGTGATTCTGTGCATGAGCTTTTCTGCTTATTGTGTATAGTTTTGAACACTTAAATCCAATAAACTCTTGTAAGTTGGAAGTGTCGTGTGTACCGAGCGCACGCGGCACTGGTGACCTGCCGACGTCGCGCCTGCACAGCCGTGCCTGCTGGGGAGCCAGCCTTCAGCCGCATGGTCTTGTAGCTGCCACTCTAAAAGACAGATCAAATGTAAAGCACAGTTACGACCAGATGCATATGTCTTTCTCAGCACCATTAAATCAAAAAGTAATGAATCAGGTGCTCAGAAGTTGATGACCTACAGCTTGTATTTGCAGTGGAAAGTGCGGGCAACGCTTCATTATTTTCAACCTTCACTCACGGCGTTTTGTGTTCCATGCAGTGTGCCGGCAGTGTGCCCGTCTCGTCCGGTGCCTTCTCCCACGCTGCTCACAGTTAGGCTCATGGCCTTGAGGAATCGATGAGATAAACCAAAAGTGGTTATAGGGAGAGGGGAAACAGGCTCTGTGGAGTGCACCTCAGCTGAATGGAGAGGGAACAGACCGGAGCAAAAGTGAAGCTGCGCGCCGTGTCTGGAGGACTCGCGCAGGCTGGGCCAGAAGTCCCAGCTGCAGCCCCGTGGCATCGCATCTCTCACGCTGTGCGGGTCTCCCGGGGGCCTGGGAGGAGTTCCACAGCCAGTCCTGGGAGGCGTCCGGGGCGCTCTGGGCTCTTGTCTTGACAGTTTGCCCCATTTTCCAGCCAGCTTTACAATGCCCACCTCCTATAATCACCTATTCATGGAGGGTGCACGTGTGCGTGTGCGTGTGTGTGTGTGTGTGTGCGCGCACCCAAGTCCCCAGCCCTGTCAGTCTACCTGGCTGGGCCTGGTTCCCTCTTGCTTTGCTTGCTCTATCTGTTGCTGCACTGAGATCTCCAGTCAGAACAAGGTTCTGATTATTAGCTTGTGCAACTTAGACCTGATGACGGGCGTTGGAGGAAGTGAGGACCAAGCTGAGCTGGTCCATGTCCCCAAGGTCCCGCTTACCCTGCCTGAGCATTTGGTGGACATGGCATGCTTGTGCTTTGTTTCAGAAGCACTTTCAGGGGCTCAGTAGAATAAGCACTTGTCTGGCAAGTGCAAGGGTCTGAGTTCAGTCCCTAGTTCCACACACACACACACACACACACACACACACACACACACACACACACAAAAGCACTTTCAGTTGTAAGAGGGTGATTCTCTGAATTCCGCCTAATGGGATTAGGGCACTGGCTGCAGTAAGTCCCCGAAACCCAGTGAGAGTCCTTGTCGTCTGACCCGGAGCTTTCACATTTTTACGAGTGGTGGGTCAGCCCTTAAACCGTATTTGTGGTCAGATTAGGACACTCGTCTTTGTAATAGCTTTGTTTCACGTCCTTTGCTTTCACAAACTAGATTTGTGGGGTTTAAACACTTATTTTGCTCTCGATCTAATTGCAGTTTCCTGTATCAGCGCACTTAAAATGTCTAAATTTAGACAGACAGTAAACCTGTACGCAGCATTATATGCACACCATGTGTGCACGCGCACACACACACGCACGCGCACGCACGCACACGCACGCACGCACGCACGCTGTGTTCTGTCCTTGTCAGGGCAGTGGCCATAAGACTGCGATTCGTCTTTGCCTTGACCCACGTCTGTGATCCAGAGCCTTCAGCTTTGTGTGCCGCCTGCTAAAGAGACTTTGCGTTACTGTGTGCTGTGTTACAGCGCGTGACAGAAAACAAAGTGTGCAGTAAGCGCTAGCGCTTGAAATCTTTGCTTCGGAAGCTGCTGGTCACGGGCCGCTCGCCCTTCCCAGGTCTCTGTTTCTGAAAGCCTGAGGCAGAATTTTCCAATCCAGTGCTTGCTCTGCCCTCTTCTTCGTCATCCTTTGCTGGGGTTAGCTTCCTTCATGTGTCCCTTTCTGGATGAGAGTGTCGCCAAATGAAAGCCTGCAGCGGGCGGCTGTGTGGCTTCACCTTGCGGCTATGACACGATCCGTGATGGCTGTCCCTTCACTGTGTAAGCCTTACTGCGCTGGAGTACGGCATGTGGGCGACACGTGCTCCAGGTGTCTGTAAAGAACGGCACCTACCCGCATGCTCAGACCGAGCTGCCCTCTGCCTTACGTCTGTCAGCGAGCACCGCCCTGCGTCCTGCTTGTGATCTCATCTTCACGCTGTCCCCAGCATCCCCGCCCCTTCCTTCAGCTCACCGCCACCTGCCCCTACAAGTCAGAGTCTCCTCCCCGACGGTCCGGGGCAGGCTTTGGCGCTCTGCCACCTCCTCCTGCCATCTATGTGGATTTGCATGTGTCTGTTCTGAAAGCTGTTGCTCTTCCAAGAAGCACGGGGTTGTCCTGGACCCCGGACACCCCTGCTGGGACCTAACTCCACTGTCTCGACCTGCTCGTGGGGTTGCCTTCTGCCCTGCCGCATCTTCAGCACCAGCCTGTGTCCCCACTAGCCCAGCGGCCCCACACGCCAGCAAGCACGCTGGGCAGGGGCTGGGGGTGAGGGCTGCAGGCTCAGCTCGCCCCCGGAGGAACACCATGGCGGTATAACTGGACAGCATTGCTGAGCTGTAGCAGGGAAGGTCAGAACTCAGTGTGGTTGTAATCCACACCCTGGAGTCAAAATAGAGATCTTTAGGGTTATATTAATATGACAAGTTAAAGGCCTACGTGGCTGTATTTTTTTATGTTTAGCCATTATGCCTCCTATGAAAAGCCCCCAAATGGTTTGGGAATCTGTACTAGGAATAAAATACATTGCTGTTCAATGCTAATGGAGTTTTATTCTTCAGAAAATATATCCATTTCGAGAGAAATCTATTTCAATTTAAAACATCTTTAAGACACACCTCGCACTGCTCACCCACATGGACACCCTGCGCCGCACTCTCATCCAGCCACGCCATGTGGTGGCCAGGGCCAGAAGTATGGCGTGGTCCAGTGGGCAGCCCCACTGGTGCGAACGCAGCCACTGCCGGCGCTGTGTCTGTCCTCTGGGGACTCTGGGAAGGGGCCGGTGCTCAGGCTGTCACGGGCACGTTCATATTGTGCCTGCCCTGCTAGCAGCCCTGCCTCCTCCTGGCTGTCTTGGTCACTTTTCCTCATTACCGAGATGAAATACCCGACATGCAAAATTAAGGAATGAAAGGCTCCTTTAGCTCACAGTTTGTGGAGGCTTCAGGGCGTGATGAGCTGGCTCCCAGGCAGCGGCATGCGGAGGGGCAGCAGGCGGCGGCAGGGGAAGGAGGCAAAAGCAGCAGGAGCCACAAGGGGAAGCAGGTCTCGCTGCCTCTCTTGCACTGTGAGCGGGCTCCCTGCCCGAGGGCGGAGTAGCCCTCCCACATCTCCGTGCCCCCTCCCTGCAGGCTCAGGATGCTCCAGAGTGGGGGCCCTGGCCCTCTGCTGAGGCTTAAACTTAAGTTTCTCAGACTGACACAATAAATCAACCATTACAACTTCCTACATGGTAACTACCCAGCCCGGGGTGTGTCTTCTACGCCCTAGGACATGCTTCTCCGGTCGGCACCACGTATCAGCCATCACACTGGCCTTCGCTGAGTCGTTGTCAGGTGCCAGGGTGTGAGCTCTGGGCAGGACAGCAGAACCACACCAAGAGGCAGGACAGCATGTCCCTGTCCCTCGTCCCATACCTCCAAAAGCTTCCAGTCTGGACTCCTATCATGGGCAGTGGGGCATGGGGACACCCTAGATCTGGGCCTGTTGTTGCTCTCTTCAAACTCCACTGTGAACCTGTGTACCTCTGTAGTGGAGTGTTGGGGGGGTGTACCGTCAGTGCCACATGTGCTGCCCCACAGGGCTGGCTGTAGGTGCACTTGGTACCTGGGGCCACGGGCAGCCCGGCCCCTCCACACATGTCCCTCCTTTCCCCACAGCCCCAGACTCTGAACTGCCTAAGGCTGTCCCTTCCCACCTCACCCTGCCAACTGCCGCTCAGCCCCAGGCCAGCTGTGGATTGGAAGGATCTGGTTAAATACAGGAACCAGAACCCACACCCAAGGTCAGCTGGGTCCTCAGGAAAAGCCCTCCGTGCCCCTTAGAGCCCGCTAACAGTGGCAGACCTTATTGCTCTCTGGTGCCATCGCAGCCACCTTTTCATTCAGTTAGAAGTCCTTCATTCTCGGAATCGCTCTTCTTGCGATGCGGCTTGTCCTGTCTGACCAGTCAAGTTGCATATTTTATTCTCATGACGGGAGGTTATGCAGACATCAGTGCTAAATAATACTTAATGCATTTGCTGTTTCAGGCTGACTCCCTCCTTACATAATGTCTTTCTTTCCTTTTTAATCTGTGAATTCCATAAATGAAAGACGTTTCTGTCTAAGAGAGTGCCTACCCTTGAGTCGTAAGCATCGTCCTGTTTACCTGAGAACGTGGTGCTGCAAGGACTTTCGTCGTCTTTAAGAGTCACAGAGAGAGAAGGAGAGGCAGGGAAAGACAAGGATGTGAGGTACGCGCTCTCCTCTTGTCCCCTCTGGAGGGCGAGAACCTGAGATTTGCACTTAAGTTTTGTGAAGACATGACACACACATGAGAATCAGAAGGGAAGCGAGCACCATGCCAGGCGCCTCACAAGCAGGGAGCAGCTCCTCTAGGACACAAGTTTTGAGGCGTGTGTTAGAGAATCAGCATGTTCCACACTGCACGTGGAAGTGTCATCGTTTAGGTAAAAACGTGGCTGACTGCGTGGACATGGAGTCGTGGCTAAGAATTAGCTCGGGTCTGAATTAAAGTTATGTAAACTCCTTTGGTGGGAAAAGCAGACAGCACTAAATGCTTGGTTTCTGCAGGAGGAGATCAGTGGTGAAGTGCCCTTGTTGCTGGGGTGGCGGGGACGCTTGGGTCTGTCTCACCCCTGCGTTTGTCTCTGCCTTTCTCTAGCCGTGGGTCTCGCCGCCTGTCAAGAGCCAGTGCTCCCCAGCAATGGCATCAAGCTCGGAGACCGCTACATGGTGAATGACGTGCTGTCCTTCCAGTGCGAGCCGGGGTACACCTTGCAGGTAACACTGTCCTCAGCACTTCGTGGGGTCACTTGGTCTCCCGTGCACCACTCATGCAGTCACAGTCCCCAGTGTGCGCCCAAGAGCTCACTCGCTGGGCCTTGACCACGGTGTGTGTCTCAAGCTAACAAGCGTGCGTCATTGGTCTCTGCCAACCTAGGAGCTAGCTTCCGAGGGCCGCAGCACCCGTCAGCCTTCCGCTCTTGCAGTTATTGTGTTGCCAGAGGCGTGTTCTTCCCCCAGCCATGCAGAGAAACTGAGGAATGAGGAGCCGTCACAGTCTTCGGAATCCTATCCCGGCGCCCAGGGACTCAGGTTGCCTGCGTCCAGGCACTGTCCTGCTTTGCGCCTGTCCCTAAGATTCAGGTCAGCCGGTCCCCCAGGGTGTGACAGCGCTCCAGGTACACAGGACATGCGAGACACCTGCATAGTCTTCAGGAAACATGAAGCAGAAATGTGCTGAACATTTACATGTAATTTTAATATAAAGCTGTAAAGTTTTAAACAACATCATATAAACTCATATACCAAGTTAGTAATATTTGCTTTTTTATGTATTTAAGAAAGGGTCTATGGAGTCTCACTACGTAGATCAGACTCATAGTAATTCTCCTGTGTTCAGCCTCCTAAGCTCTGGGATTACAGACACATGCCACCGTGCCCCGTCTCAATCCGTGTCTCAGCACACCCTGGGGCAGAGCCGGCACAAGACGCTGCAAATTGAACCCCGGCCGCTGTGCTCTGCCAGTGCAGGTGCTTTAGTCCACTGAGCTATCTGGCCTGTCCCACATTAGTAATATTTGTATTATTTATTTTCTTTTTTAATCTTGCACTCACTTATACTCAAAATGTTCCTTGCTTTGCATAATTCTTCCCGCAGACAGTAAAATCAACTCAGGAATGTGCCCAAGTGTAGGAGAGAGGTCTATGCCTGATGGTGTTCTATTCTTCAGATAACTTGGATTACAGAACACTTTTGTTCTATGTTTATTACATCATTGAAGCTCACTGGATTTTATGGACAGTGTTTAGCCATGCACTTCACCTGACTTTAATAAAGTAGCCTGAAAAATCGTCAGGAAGGGGTGGAACAGTGCAGGAGTGAAGCGACGCCGCTGCGCAGCACCCAGTCTTCGCATGCGCTGGGGCAGGCGTGCCGTGGATGGACCCAGGGGCTGCAGCCAGGAAGGGGCAGTGCTGGCTGGGGTGGCACCAGGAGCGCTGCTCGGGGTCAGCATGGCAGGGTGGTGGCATCCAGCTGAGAGCCAGGGTTGCTGTCGGGAGCCGGCCCGAGCCACCTTCAGCTGCCCAGGGTCCCAGCACAGGAAGGAGACTCAGAGACAAGCGATCGTGCAAAAATGGGAATGTGAGGTCAGAGTCTGCTGCCAGCGGAGACCAAGAAGGCCCGTGCTGTCCCTATCTGAATTTCAACGTCAGTCACGAGCCTGTCATGGGAGAAGGGGCCACAAGGCTGCTCTGCAGCTGGCATAGGCAGGGCTGGTAAGCGAGGAGTGGGCGTTCTCGTGCGGCTTTCAGGACAGTGGCTTCGAGTCAGTAAGTAAGCTGCCCGGCGGTCATGAAGGTCCTCGCCCTGCGAAGGTGATTTGGGCGAAAGTTGCACGAGCTCAGGGGCAGTGTTGATCCCAGTCATTTGCTGGCCTCAGCCCTGGCTGGTGGCGTGGAGATGAGTCTCACCCAAGACCCCAAAGGGAGCTGCTCTCTGGCCACGGAGGCCTTGAGCTTTCTTGTCTCAACTTCTGCCAGTTGTAAGTTAATGTCAGTCTCTCCTGTAGAACTCTAGCCGTGTCAGTGGGTGAAGCTAGTATTGCTGTTCGCATAAACGAATGAGGCGTCTGCGGCCTGAAGCCAGCGACAGCTCCCACCGGGCGCTGCTGGTCCGCCCTCGCCTCTGCAGAGAGAAAGCTGGAGCAGGCTGGCGGGCCTGGCGGGCTGGGACACCTGCCGCGGACATGAGGCCGGCACGGGCTCCGCGTGGGCAGTGTGAGCAATCGTGCATTCTTTTGCATTGAGGAGGCACTTCGACCACGCCGAGCAAGGAGCCAGTTTTATGCCCTTATCTTTGGGCTGCAATGTGACTACCAGGCAGGATGAAGCGTCCTGTCCTCCTGTGGCCTAAAGCTCACCCTAGCGCACGGTCGTCCTCCCAGATGTCCCTCTGTTTCCTTCCCATTGAGGACCCAGCAGCCGCTTCCTTTGTGTCCTTTTTCTCAAGTGAGTTTCACAGATCTTAGAGACTAGAATCGCTCATTAGTGCAGTCATTTTTTACAGTGTACTGAGTGATTTGCTGCTAGACACACAGCCTGGAAGCTTGCTCGGTGTGCACATTAGCTCCGATTTTCAAGTGCAAATTAAGCTCTTTCCCCCCTCGAGGCAGGCAGCTCTGAGCAATGAACTCGTGCACTGCTGTGTCATTGCCAAGAGCGAGGATGGATTCCGGATTTGTAAAAACCAGGCAGCCCGTTTCACTGTCGCAGAGCTGGGCACAGTTGGGCGGCACGTGCCTTCGGCGCGGCTCTGCGTGAGCCTTGAGCAGGCGTGCTGGACTGGCTAAGGGTCTCGAGCGCCCGAAAGAGCCACGTGATTTGCAGCCTGTCCAAACTTACTTTAGGCTTCTTTTAAAAGTTGGAAAAAGAAAAGTCCTGCTTGAGGGAAACAGAGCCAGTATATAATACACCTTGGTTTTGATTCATTACAAAAATTTTAACTGAAGTCATTCATTTGAAAATTTTTATACTAAAACCGATAGCAGAGTATAACCTAGGTTGATAATAAACGGCTATTTTGTTGTTAGCTTTCAACATGTATCTTTAAGAGTTTGCACTTCAAGTTCATCTGCAATTCAGGGAGAACTTTACTACACACAATGGAATGGACCGCAGAATGAACAAGTGCAGACGGAGTGCAAACTTTAGCAGCACAAATGAAGCCCAGGACGTCTCCCCGGAAACCCAAGTATCACCTTCCTGTGCTTGAACTGCTTCTTAAAACAACAGGCACCGGGAGGAGTCGGTTTTGTGGCGGATCAAGGGAAGGTGAAGGGTTCCCGCGCTCCAGGAACTGCTTTGCCATCGGCAGCCGCCCAGGCACTCCCTCCTGGCCCGCCGAGTCCCCAGGGCGGTGGGGGCCTTTCCTGTGAACTGGAGGCCTGACCTTCAGCCACCTCCGGGGTACC